GTGACATCATATGCTGCTTTTAGATAGTTTGCACATTATCAGACTAATTTACAGATTATCTAATCAGCAGACATTACCCTTAATCAATTCAGTTCTCCCCTTTCAGTTCCACAAAGTACAACATGCCCTCCAAAGGGGTACTAGCTAGGGCTGAGCCATTATTTTCCACAAAGGACAGAAAGCCTAATTTTGTCCCAGGCAGACAGACCTCCAGAGACCTAGGACAACCACAAGTTCAGTTCCATGCAGGTGAAAAATAAGCTGGAGCTAAATTTTACAAAATCATATATTGAAAAACATTTTCCTTTTACAAACTCCAAGTATATTATTGAGACATGTTATGTTTACTTATGCTATTAAAGAAAAGAGATTTACCATATAAGAATTAGTAAGACTATGGATTTCATTATAAATCATTCATTCTTGCTTTCTAGTAATTGCTACCATGGCTCCCCATTTCCTACTAGGTTAAGATGCCTACAAGTGTGGGTCCTGCTTACATTTGCATCTTTTCCTCTGCATCCCCTAAGTCCAAAACTACAGTCAGACACAATTACAACCAATTGTCTGAACACACCATGCTGTTTAATACCTCCCACCTTTGTACATACAGTTCCCTCCTGGAACCTAGGATCCCCTCTTCCTCCTGAAAATTCCTCCTCCTTCTCCAAGGGCTAATTTGAATGTCATTTCCTCAGTGAAACCTTTGCAAAGCCCCCAGTGCAGTGGGCCTCAAGCTTTAGTGTCCACCAGAATGCCATGGAGGGTATTTTTAAACACCTTGTGCTAGTCCCTACATGTAAGGCTCTGTGTTGGGAGGTCTGGTACAGCCCGAGAACCTGAACTTCCCATGAGTCCCCAAGGGATGTCAATGCCACACTCAGAGCACAACTGCCTTGAGTTATAGAAAGAACACTGTGCCCTTAAGATCTTAGTGCCTTCACTCTTCTGTCTCCCACTCCAGCCTACAGGGTGTTCAAGGACAGGGCTGAGTCTTACTCATTTCCGTGCTTCCGAGTCTTGGCATATAGTCAGTACTCAATGGCTACCAAGCCAATGGACAGATGCATAGATGCATGCAGGGATGGATGGCACTGAATTTATTGACACAACTTTTTCATCCTAGTCCAGAACTTTGTAAATGTCCATCCCAAAAAGTATCTTGAAAACATCACCTATAATAATTCCAACTGTGCAGAGAAATTAAAAGGAAATTCAAGAAGGAGTTCTGACATTGTCAGCCTGCTGTTGAGATGTGAATTCTAATCCTGTTTACTGAGGTTGCACTTAAGGGGTCCCAACAGAATGCTTCTGAGTGGCACTATTCAGGGCCCTGATCCCCAAGCTACCCCTCCTTTGATTCATGTATATGTGTATCCGTATGTGTGCATCTATGTACATGGATGCACACATACACATATGTATGGGTTTTTTGCAGAAAGCAGACAGAGGTGTTAAGGGAAATGGAGGGAGAAGTAAGATGTCAGCCTCAAACAGGAAGCAGAAGGGCAGCAGCCCAAGTGAGGATATGCCCTCACCCGAGGGCATGGGTTTGAGCTCCAAGCATTCCCAGGTGCCTGTCCTTCAGACAGACAGCCCAGAGCACAGAGAGAAAAAGACATCCACAGGAGACACAGAAGTAGATACTCAGGAGAAAATGAGACATTAGGAGAGAAACAAAGGCGACAGTGCATCTGCTGGAAGGGCTTGGAAGACAGGAGAAATGACAGTCAACTGCTGAGCTGGCAGCTTGGGCATCAGGGCAGGAGTGGGGAGAGAAGGTCAGTGCTGGCTGCAGCAGGCCCTCTGCCCTTTTTACAGCAGCAGCAGGCGCAGGAATGAGCAATGGGCTCTGCAGAAGAAACAGTTGGAGGGGACAGAGCAAGGGACAGCAGGAGGACCAAAGTCAAAAGGTCTTGCATGCTGTGGGTGGTGTGAACCAGCTGCCCGTGGCCAAGCCTTGTTGAGGGAGGATAGCAAAGCTGAGACCTCAGGATGCTGCTGAGCTGTCACATTCAATTCACCACACAGCCCGGTGGCATTTAGGGGTACGATGGATGGGAGCCCACCCCCAGCCCCAGACAGTAGGAGCAGCTAATGATTGGGTATTAATGATGCTGGCAATTAGTGCTCACAGGGAAATGGTGGGGGGCTGCTCACCGGGGGAATGTGGGAGGAAACAGAGCACACATTTGGAACAGCAAGTGAATCAGTGGTGACTGCAGTACAGAGAACCCATGGAGAGCAGCTCCCTTGGGGCTTGTCCTGAGAAATTAGGGACAGGAGGAAGGATGATGGCTTCTCCAGACACTAAGAACCTTTCTCTGTTGCACCCTCCCCATTAGTGAAGTTGGGGTTGATCACAGAGCTCTCAAAGAGGGCACTGTATAAGAAATGTCAAGAAAAACGTGTGAGGGTTCCCCAGATCGGTCCAGGTACCTCTTTTCTTTGAGGCTTAAAACCCAGCCAGGCCAGTGATTCTTTGTGAAGAACCCAGCAAGATGAGATAGGAAAAGGAGGAGAGAAGGGTTAGAATGCCTGTGCTCACCCACAGGCCCACAGACAGATGGGGACAAGTATCAGACAACATTTCTCAGAGAGGTGTCTTCATGCAGGAAGAAGAAAGACAAGCACAGCTTCCTTACTAAGCAAGACTGCACGGCTTCACAGGGAGGGCACAGGAGGCTGAAAACACCTATCCAGGAAAGCGTAGGAGGATGCCCTGGTGGACAGTCTCAGAAGTCAACAACCAACTTGGAGGAGACAGCAGGAAGTGCTGGAGGGGAGGCTGCCACCTTCCACTTCCTGCCTGCCGTGCTCCCTCCGCTCCACTGGAAGGTCCTGCACACATACAACATGCACACACAGGCACACACACATGCATGTACACCACTCACTATAGTGAGGCTACAGGAGAACCGGGAAAAATGTGACACAGACAAAAGGAAGCATTTCAGTCCCTTTAGAAGTGAAGGTGAACTTTTTAGAGCTTTCAGTGATACAAACAGCCCAATGTGGCACGCGTGCCGTAGGTTTGCCACCACTGCCCTATAGGGTGAGTAAGGTGCCCGTACACAGGAACAAAATGGCCTGACATGGGGAAAATATTTGGAAATAAGCTGTCACTAGGAGAATAAGAAATAATACCAGGCTACTAAACACTTCAGAGAGAGCAACAATCCCTATAAATACTTTCCACATAGGGCCAGAAATCAAAGAGGACTTCTCTCAGCCTTCTCCTGACAGGAAGCAGCAGCTCCTTGTGACCTCCTGGTCACTGAGACCAGAGAAGGGAAAAACAAGTATCAGCTGGCTGAGCACAGGTCAGAGTATTTTCCTTTCTGAAAGACTAGGGTGGCTGGAGCAAAGAAACCTCGGAGGATGGAAGATAGAGACGTCAGTGTTATAGCTTCTCAGACGCTGGTGAGGAGAGAGGACAAAACTGTCAGACACCTCCTGCCCTGCTTTTCAGATTCTGCCCAGATGACAAAAGTAAGGTAAGAAAGCAAAGGTCTGCACACAAAAGGATAGAACCCTGAAAGAGAGGTAGAATTAAAGAAGTTGTTATGGCTGAATCATGGCCCCTACTCCGCATTCCAATGTTGAAGTTTATCCCTGGGTCCTCAGAATGTAACTGCACTTGGAGGCAGGGTTTTTAAAGGAGTAAAGTCAAAGTGAGGCCATTAGGATAGACCCTAATCCAATCTGGCTGGTGGCCTTATAAGAAGAGGAAACCTGGACCCAAAATAGACCACAGGGCACCTGTGAACAGAGAGGAAATACCAGGAAAAGGGGCAACCAGGTGGTAGCTGTGTACAAGCTAGGGAAAGAGCCTTCAGAGGCAACCAAACTCACTCATACCTTGACCTTGGACTTCTAGCCTCCGGAACCCGAAGAAAATAAATTTCTGTTGTTTAAGCCTCACAGCCAGTGGTCTTTTGTTATGGCAACCCTATTAAACTAATAAAGAAGACAGTGTTACAGGGGAAAGTGATAAGTGAGTTAATGGAAGCCAGACCTAAATCCAAAGAAAAGTCTTGGCAATGGGTGTGTTAGTTCAAATACTTAGTAAAGGCACTCAACTGACTAAAATGAACAGCAGTCATCTTTAAATCTTACAGTCTGAATAGCTTTAAAGGTCTAATCCTTTTAATCTCATTAAATTTTTTACACATTGTACCTCCACAAATTTTCTTCACCTAGTGATCTCAGCATGGCCCACATCTTGACACTAGCTCTAAAGATTCCACCTTCCCATCCCATTTTGAGGTGTTTGTAGACCCAGAGGCATTATTGGATCTTAGAGAAGGAAGTCAAGTGGTAAGCCTCTTTTTGATTCCTTAATTCATAACGAAGTTGAAGAAGGAAAGAAAGAGGCAAAATGGAAACGCAAATCTTCAGAATCATTTTGAGTCTTCAGAAGCAATTATCGTCCCAAATGCAAATCCACTCAGATCCCATTTGCCATTTGAGTGCCCCAGCAAAGAGCATGGAGCTCCGGGCAACATCTCTAAGGCCCTGTATCCAAAATTGTAACCCCTTATAACAAAGCCACAGCAATAGATCGACACAATTGGTGTCAATTTTTAAAAATAGAATATCTGAAATCTTTTAGAGGCCAAGCAGACATGAGATATACCCAAGGGCTATGGCCAGCCAGCTGTGTCTCCCAGGGGTGTATGGGTGTTCTGGAACCAAAGGAGACATAGCAGGTCTAGTATTTGATGGTAGCCCAGCAAGGACACTTCTTTTCTGCTGAACACTTACCTTCCTTCCTCCCTCCAGGAGCTGAACTGGGTGTGTAAGCTCTTCCTCACTCACTCTAAGCCAGTGGCCTAGCTGAGCCACCGGGTGGTAGCTGGCTAAGCTTAGGGAGCCAACTCACTACAGGACATTGAGGCCAGTCAACCACTGCCACCAGAAGATAACAGAGATGTGAAAGGAAATGTTCCCCAGCCCTGCCCACACCTCTCCTCACTGCCCCAGCAGTAGGGACTCACGTCTGTGGTTCTCATTTCTGTGGTTAGGTGGGGATCGCGTCTCCTGGTCCTGGGCTTCATCCCCCTCCTCGCTGGCCAGGTGGGTGTGAGCATAGTGGTAGCTTAGTCCTGGCCGGTTCTTGTAGCGCTTGCCACAGACTAGAGAAGAAAAGAAGGGGAAAAGATAGATGCTAATGTCAGCAACTTCTGCAGCCACTGCTTTCATTCCCCCAGGTTGCAAGCCCCAGCCATCCACCCCAGAGCCAGGATTCCCCTAAGACCTATCTCCCATCCCAATCCCCCTTCCCAGCTCCTGATGGTACCAACACTACCATAACAACATAGCCCCTGTATTGTTACCATAAAAGAAAAGAAAACTGTAAAAGAAGAGCATAGGGGTTAGAGCTGTGTGAGCACTCCACCATTTCCTGGCTGGAGACCCTGGACAAGTCACTTCACCTCTCTGTGCTGTTTCAGGCACAAAATGGCAATAAGAATATGGCTCAAAGGGTTGTATGATGCATTAACCCCTACACAAGGCACTTAGAACCTGTCAGCACATACTCAGGGTGACTTATGACTGAATTCCAAGAGCACCTGGAATCTATTCAGGCCATCATCCCAAGGCAAAGATGAGGCAAGAAAGGCCTAATGACACTAAGTGATTTGCCGGGGGACACACAGCCTCCTGAATTCCTCTGCAGTGCTCCTTCTGCTACCCTGTGCTGACTCTGTGTGAAGCAGAAAAGTTTCACATGCATATTTTTTATTTTGTACCAGAAAAACATTCCACTTCTACCATGAAAACCATGAACCTCAGTTATCCTTGGTGGATCAAGAGCTTGTGACCTCAATGCCCAGGCCAACCTCTGATACCCCACCTCTGTAAAGGGTGTTCTCACAAGCAGCACATCTCCAATGGAACAGCTTGAGACAAAGCAACAGGCAATATGAACGTGGATTTTTGGAGAAAACCAGACTGCCATGCTCACTGCCCCAGCCCCACTCCTAGCCCAAGGCTCAGCCTCTGGGAGTGGGATTGCAGGTAGCAATCCCTCAGGGTCTCCACAGTAACAATGCCATGACTACTGTCTAGTCCTGCTATTCCTTCTCCCCAGCAGAGCAAGCCAGGCCTGCTGTGCTAGAGCAGTTGATGGTTATATTTTCTAAAGGACTCTCCCTTCTCAGGCATTGACACTGATGGTTTATACCAGTAAACATAAACACTACACAGATGGAAAGAGCACAGATGTCAGCATCAGACCTAGGTTCAAATCCCAGTTCCAGCTCCCCAAGTTCAGAGACTGTGTGACTTTGTATATAGAAGAGCTGTTAATCAGTTACCTTACCCAGGACAATTATGACTTCTCATATGCTTTCTTCTCCCACTATTCTCCAGGGTGTTTTGTTTTGTTTTTTGGGAAATAACCATTGGCAAAAATAGATAACATCATCTCTTCTTTCCCATATTTATAAAACCATTTTATATTAGCTTAATTCACTTCAAACAATCACAAGGGCAATAACAAGATCAAGCAATTCCTACTTTAATAAAGTCAAATGTAGTATTTCACTGTTTAGAATGATAAATACAGCTAATTTTTAGCTTTTATCCAATTTAAGTCATCCCTCTTGTTGCTGCTTTAGAGTTTTATTATAAGAGAATTTTATCAGCTGCCCTTTCAGCATCTACTATACATGACTCTCCTTTGGTTTGTTGATATAGTGAATTATACTGATTTCCTATTATTGAACCATTCTTGCATTCCTAGAATGTACTCCGTTTGGTAGGGTATATTATCCATTTAATATACTACTACATTCAATTTACTAATATTGCATCCATACTCAGACATGACTTGGATCTATAATTTTTGGACTATCTTTATCAGGTTTCAATTTTATGGTTATGTTAACCTCCAAAAATGAGTTGGAGAGTCTTGTTTTATGAAATTGGACAATACATATAATTTCTCTATGCCCTTTCTCTGTAAATGAGGATAATAATACTTACTTTGAAGTAAAGGGATTATAAACAAAATAAACAATCTTTGTAAAGCACCTTACTTTGTATATAGCACATAAAAGATAATAAATGGTAAGTGAGGGTTAAGGGGTGTCATTTTTGCTTGTCACATTGTAGGTGCTGGACTCTCTGAAAGAGCAACTTTGGTCCTTGTTTCATACTATGAATCTGACAACGGGATGGACTTCCTTGATAAGGTAAGATGAAAGTTTGAAATTAAAGTTGGTGACATGGCAACTATAAATTCAAACCCTTCTCTCTCTCTCTCCCTTTCTGTCTCTTCCCCCCTCTCTCATAAATATTGCACAACATAAAATAAAATGGTGCCATGTATCTTAGTCCCATATGACTCAGGAAGCTGGACCCGAAGAGGCCCCTGAGGTACACTCTGGGCCTGCTTGTGGCTTTCTCCATTTAACCCTTAAAATGGTTGGAGTCAATAAGCAGCAAATAATGGAGTCATTGGATGTAAATTCATTTAGGCACCAACCATACTGTTGATGAGGAATAAGTGTCCATTAAAAGTAGTAGTAGTAGTAGTAGTAGTAGTAGTTACACAGGAAACCTCAGCTGCCTCTACAGATCTACCGATCAGAAGCTCCAAGCATTTCATCTGGGCCATTTGTTATGCCAATCATAACACTTTTCCTTAATTACTGAATTTCAAGATCTTAGTGGTCACTTGATCTAACCATTTATCTAATATTTTGTTCCCACTAATTCTCTAAAGCCTGTTGGGGGATAACTCCAGGGATGGGGAACTTGCTGCCCGTCAGAGCAGGCACCTCTGCTTTGGGCCCTTGAATTATAGTTATGTCTGCACTGGAGGGCCTCCCCTCAGGGCAGTTCCATACTGATTCCTTCCTAACATCAACAATTCTACCTCATCTGTTGCCAAGCATAACACTACAAAATGTTATTTGTTGAGTGGCTGATGAATAACACAGAAACACCTGTGGGAAAGCCAGGAGCTGAGGGTAGAGGTAGCTTGTAGAATCCATTCCATCTATCCACATTCATTTCAAACTAATAGTTCTTAAGACCTACCGATCCAAACCTAAGCAAAATGCTCCTTCTATCTCTTTCCCTATCACTGTGGAAAGTAGTAAGTTTTGAAGCAAACTCTTTTGCTAGAACAGAGATTTTCAAAATGTAGCCCCCAGACCAGTATCATCAGTGTCACTGGGGAACTTATTACAGAAGCAAATTCTTAGGGTTCACCTCAGACTTACTAACTCAGAAACTCTGGGAGTGGGACCCAGCCATCTGCATTTTCAAGACCAGGTGACCCAGGTGATTCTGATGCACGCTAAAATTTGAGAACCACCGAGCTAGAAGGCTGAATCTATTTGAGCCTGACTCCACCCACCCCGCAGCCACCTGCCCTCCTACTGGATGGGCACAGCAGGTGGAGTCAGTGGAGGCCACTCTGTGCCTTGTGATTTGTCAGGAGAAGAACCAGACCCAGACCACACAGGGAGATCCTGGAAGCCAGGCTCCTCTATGAAGAGCCCTCTGATGGTGCTTCATCTTTTGCCACCTGCTTGGACGATGTCATTTCTTTATCACCAGATCTTCAATTCCAAACACTTACTAAACACCTACTATGCGCTTGTCTGTGTGGACCAGAAGGGTAAATACAAATGAGATCCTTTCCTCCAGAAGTGCACAGCCTAGCGAGGACTTGCGCCTGTGCACAAAGGGGACATGGAGGTAGATGCGACATTGTGAGCAGATGCAACAGAGAGGAGAACACAGGAGGGGCCAGCAGATGGCTTGAGGTGGGGGACATGGCTTCACAGAAAAGAAGTCCCTGGCTGCGTGTGTGAAATGGGCAAGGTTTCACAGCAGACAAAGGAGGCAAAGGCATCCAGGCGCCAGGGCACACCCGCCCAGCACAGCACAGGGACGGGGAAAAGCTCCCCAAAACCAGAGTGGAGGAGGGGTGAGGCAGGTGGAGGGTACTGACATGAGAGACTGCCGGGCGGGACTTCATCCTGAAGATGAGCGAGCCGGGGGCAGATTTTACCCACAGGACCAATTTAATCAGACTTACTGTTAGAATACTGCTTAAGACTGTAGGGCAGAAGAACATGAAGGCGGCTAGAGGCTATTTTGCATTACTTATGAGTAAAACAATGAGGACTTGAAACAATGATGGAGAAGAATAGGGGAAAGAGGTTAAAAAGAGACAATCTGGTGGAAAAGTGTGTGTATAAGAAAGCGAGGAGGAGCCCAGAAAGCCTGCCAGAGCCTTCCCAAGTGCGTATCCTCCACCATCCAGCCCCACCTCATCTGACACCACATCCCACCTCCTTCTCAGCCCCCCTGCCCGCCGGCCTTTTTATTTCTCAGTTTTCCTCCCATCACAGAGCCTCAGCACAAGCTCTTCCCTCTGCCTAGCATCTCCACCCCCCATATGTCTGATGAACATCTAATCATCCTTCAGATCTTAGTCCTAAAGTCCTTCCCCAGGGAGGTCTTTCCAATCAAAATCAGGACCCTGGTTTTCTACCTTGCTAGGACTAATCACGCCTCAAGACACATCTCCCCCACTGGCAGCCAGCGTGGCAGGCCCTGGGTGTTCACACACACTGCATCCCCAGGGATCAGCATGGGGCCTGGCTTGTGACAGGCTTTTGATGTCCTCTCAGGTAAGCGAGGAAGTTACCTAGATTCCTGACTTGGGAAACTGGTGAGAAAGACATAGGAGAAAATTCCAACTTGAGAAAAGAAGAGTATTAGGTCAGTCCAGGGTTGACTTTATTCTCCCAGACTTTGGGAAAGAGGTGTGGATTTGGAAGTTGGCAGGGTGGCAATGCAAGGTTAAGTGTGGAGAGATGTTCCAAGACTGTACAGAGAGAAAAGAGAAGCGTGGGCATGGGACAAAACTCAGGAAATATACGTATCTTAAGAGACTGGTGGAGAAAGAAAAATGAATTTTTTTTTAATTTGTTAAGGAAGACTCACATGCGAATGAGCAACATAAGCCAAAGGAGTAGGGTTTCAAGACAGCAGCCACAATGATACTCTGGAGCAGTCATAGCTCCTGCCAACAGCTCCTGAGTATTCACCGTGTGCCAGGACTGCAGCCTGCATCCCCCACTCCTTTTTTGTGATTCCAGATTTTAAA